ATTAAATAGCTGTAGCAAAGTTGGTTTCGATGTCAAGCAGTTTGATAAGTGATTTTAAGGGCCTTCACTGATGAAACAATTAAATTACGCTCAACAGTTATGAGAACAGAAAAATTTACTAGAGATACATTTGGAAGTACATTAAGCGTGCGTGTGATTACCATTTGCTCAATGATGGGGCCTTCATCAAGCTCTTCTGTGACAAAATGACTTGTTGCCCCAATCAATTTCACACCAGCATCAAAGGCTTGCTTAGATGGGCTCCCACCTTTGAAAGAGGGCAACAGGCCATGATGAATATTTATAACATCCTTTCCATAGCTTCTTAAAAAATTCCCAGAGAGTATCTGCAGAAGTTAACCGATGTTTTTAAAGTAGAGCCATTCTGGTATGGAATTATATAAAAATGGATTAGATAGATGAAAAATCTTGAACATTGCAAAGTTAAGTCAGCTTTTTTTAATGAATTTATACACCTCAAGAACCTACCACAAAAAAACACTCAATTCTACTTGAAAACTGACAAACGAATGATATTTACATTAAAAAAAGAAAAAAAAAATGCTCCACGGTTATATTATTACGTTACAAGCACCATTTTATTGGAGCTGAATACAGTGTCAAGCATATGGCTCCAAACTACACTTAAGCCTCGTTTACTTAAAATGATGGGATTGGGCAGTTTAATCCCATCAACTTTACACGTCAGCTTGTGTCCAATGTAGTTACAAAACATGATGCATTGTAAGGCAAAAACAATCAAGCAAATTACTAACCTGGATAAAAAATGACAGGATAAAAAGCAAAAATATGAGGTAAAAGGGACATTTCACATGCTAATTTTCGGACAAAATGGTCATTCCAAAGGTGGGATTGAAATTGTCCCACTCGCAAGACCGGACAAAATAATCCACCAAGACAGGATAAAAAGTGTGGAACCCACATGACACATCAACTTATTATCTGATCCCATCATGGTCAGCAAACGTTGGATAATATGAGTTATCCAGCCCTATCCTATCCTAACCTATCAGCTTAAGTAAACGAGGCCTTACCTGCATGTACCTGGCAAGAACTAGAAAGTCCGTATCCTTCACCAAATTCAACATATCTCCTTCTCTTTTGTCTTCGGTACTTGTTGCCAAATGGTGGTACGGAATTCCATGCCTTTCAAGAAATCGCATAACATGGGTGTTTGGCCCTCTATCGTGATTGCTGTTCAGCGTATATTACTATTAACATTTTATCACAGTAAATAATAATCTATAGATCAAATAAAATGAGTTGAGAATATACTCGATCTCACCTTATCACAGCTGTGACATTAACTGGAAGTTTCCTGTCCTGCCAACAATGCAGCAAATCAACAAGGCAATGGTCCTGATATAAATGGAAACAACTTAATATTATGCCACAACATTTTATACTCATCAAGTTAGCCATCACATGTTTGTTGGATGGTTTACCTGCTTTGAAGCAAGGATTGCAATCTTATATTTAGGATCTAAATTTGGCACTCGAACAACAGATCTAAACGCATTGAACATCTCTGAAAGCTTCAAGAAATCCCAATCCATTTGCTCCCGAGGCCATTTAGCAGGGTCGAAAAGAAACTCACTGCAACTTACAGCAAAATAAAATTATTGACATATGAATACATGTAATTCATGCGAACAATATCTGAATAATAAAAGCAGCACTCATCGAAAGTTTTGCTTATAGAAACAACACCAATCATTTAAGTACTCCGTATAGATAATACATCCTTGTTAACAAGTTCACAATAGTGTGATATTTACATTTGCAAGGTGAAGGGCCTAATGACAACTGAAGTGAATGACGTGCACGTTAAAAGAAGTGGCAGCAACTAAACTTACATAAAATTGGAGTTTTATTTCTTTAGCACCATTCAAATGATAAAAATACCATCGTATTGCTATTTAGTTACTCCATTCAAATGAATTTTCGAACACTTTGATATGTTCATCAAGTAGCACGAACTACATACACATCGAGGCTTGATATCATCAGTTACAAGAAGCAACCATAATCAGCAACCAAAGCGATCATGTACGATGAACCATATAAACTAACTGCTTTGAAGTAAAGTAATGGAATAACGATTGTTATATCTGAACTCTACTTATTATAAAGATTCTCCTTGTTTTGCTTTGAATATATTCCTTTACCTTGTAGGAAAATTAATGATCTTGTAGAATAAAATGAGTAAGAGTTTTTGAATCATAGGCAAGAGTTTATGAATAATAGGAGCACGAGTCTTAGAAGTATTCTCACCTATTTTCTTTCCATAGAAGTTTGGAGGGGTCCATACAATGCTGTCTAAGTTCACATTGTAACCAAAAGAGTAATTAAGCTTCGATTTGTACCCATCGACTAAACACTAGCTTAATAAAAGAGTTCTAAGGGGGAGTGAGGCCTCCTACTTCTCTCCCCCACAATTTCTATATGTTACAAGAACATACACCATCGTTAACCGACTTACAAGTAAGAATATATGTTAGCTTTAAGGTTCAAAGCCAGCGAACACAATTCAAAACAAACCTCAATAATATCAAAATGCATCGAAGTAAAAATATGAAAAGTTAGAAAATAGACAGAATGAGAAAGCAGCTGGGAAAGAAAATACCTTCTGGAGTAAAAGACATTCTCTTTCTCAGGCACAAAAACATCAGCACTAAGAATGTTACCACCCCTTGAAGCTATGCACTCAGATAATTTGGCCACAATTCCCACTTCATCCTGATTATGCACAATGCCAAAATGTCAAGGTCCTATTCCACCTAACTAATTAATCTTAAATGAAACAGAAAAAGAAAAAAAAAAAAGGGAAAAAGTTGTTTTTTATTCATATAACATATACATGATGATATGCGTTCGCAGGGATGAAATTTCTTCAGGATTGCAACTTAACCATGATTATATACAAAATCAAGAACCAAAAACCACAATATCCTTACAAAATTTCTCTCTTTTGACATCCACCCTGATAAAGTCTTACAATTATCATCTCCCTCGTCATGTTAACAACAACATATTCCCCAAAAAAAAAATATCTTCGTTTTCCAACTTCAGTTACTCCTTAGAGCCAATTAACATACGGCCCAACCAATTCATTCAAAATTCGTAAGTCTGAATGTCGTCAGTGGTTATCAGCTTACCGGGCAGTAGAAGACATGAACGCCATGGACGAGTGACGGGGAGGTGGCGTCATCAAGGCATTCTCCCGGGAGCTTTACAGATTTGAATGACCTTTTTGCCAATACATCACGAACTCGAGAAGAGTATCTCCCGCAGGTTCTTCGGATGAGGAAGCTCATATCCGAAAAAAAAGAAAAAAAAAAAGAAAAGAAAAGAAAGGAAAAAACGCAGGCGCACACACACTACCCCTCCCAGTGTGTGTGGCTGAGATTTGAGCGTTGATAAGCTTGAGGTCGCCAGTTATGCCGATATGAGATAAAAAGGAATTTTTTTATTTTATTTTTTTGTATATATACTATATACTATTAGTTCAATTTAAATTTTTTTATGCTAATTTACTTTTTTATAAAAAAATATATTATATATTCATTCAGGCATTTAAAAATAAATATTTATTTTTGTTATATTATATTAATTTTAGTGATTGTGTTTATTTTTAGTTATTGTATTTCTATCTTATGACCAATTATAAAATTTAAAATATTTCCTTTTTCCTCAAAACTTGTTAGTGAAATAAAAAAATTGTTTTGGATCAAGAAAAAATTGGTGCTTTGATGCTATTTAGCCAAAGAGAAAACAAAAAACAAAAGAAAAAAGAAATAATTTGGATACTGATAAGGTCCAAAACGAATGACTCCAGTTCCTCGCCTGGTCCTTCTCGGGTTGCATGGTAGGTCGGTGGGTGTTCTTCAATCCTTGCACTTGAGTTCGCCGGTACCTGCAAAGCGCCGGAATTGCTCTGGCGCAAAACCCTCCAACGCCCAAGTCAGTATAGCCAAATAGAGAGGATTTGGAGCAATAAAATGGGATAGTGAAAGTGATAATGAGATCTAT